ACTTCCTTTATTTCCTGTCTCTATTCTTTAGTGATTGCAGACTGTCTCCGACTCAATCTCCATGCTTGTCTGCGCTGCTATTAAATTACTCCTCCATGTGGTGTTTATATTATTGATCTTCTCCGTAAGGTTGACTGATTATGATTGTGTGCATGAGAGGTTTGCCCCACACACAATAAGACAAGATGATATGTACTGATATGTGTGAATATGTTTCATGGATTGATAGGTCACTATATCTATATCCAACTATATCTCTGGAAATATCACTTGTTGTTTATCATCCATATTTCGATATCCCACAATGTGTCAATTGCGTGTCTGGTAATTCTAACTAACTACTATTTCGCAAAATTCGACCAGCCTTGCTTCTACCAGTCATTTAAGTCATCTCCCATATTTTCCTTAACAGTGAATGTTAATGCAGATATATTGTAAAGGTAACACTAGAATACATTTCCCTTTGCATTACACAATGAAAAAATTCTAGTTACTAATGGCATGGATCATATCTATGGAAATGAAATACCCCAAAATCCAAAATGGATAAGAAGTTTTATCAAAATCAGTAAAAAAAATGAAACAAACAAATTTGAGAAGATGAAATCATTAAAACACTACTGTTGGATTAAAAGAAACATTAAAAAAGAAAATTACATAATGGATTCTTATGATCATCATGGTATCTCCCTTGTCTTTAAAACTAGGTCAAACTCTTGAAGGTAACAAAATGGAATGGAAAACTTACAGGGGTAATGGAATTTGTGGAGTCTTCAATCAGGGCAAAGTATACATTTACCACTTTCTTTATCTTTGTAGGTCATCTAATCATATTAGAAAGGATTTTTATTTAGCATTAGAAACCTCACTGAGAAACAATGTTGAATCTTCATCACTAACGAATAGTTTTCTTTCAGGGTTGTTGAATTATAGGTTCAATTTCTTTTTTGGTGATACACTATGGAACATAAATGAAAATGTCGGAGAAACCTCACCAGCTTTAATTAGGAAATATGTGACTGATTTATGGCAATTTAGACAAGAAATGATGAATGTAAGTTAAAGATATGTATTACTGTTTTCATGCTGCCGATACAAAGGTTGAATAAACATTATTATTATTATTATTATTATTATTATTATACAACAGTCTTTGTGCTGAGACAGTGATGGTTCACACCCATCACCAGTTCTCTTGTTTCGATTGAGATTGTGTGCCGTGTCTCCGAATGTTTGTTCGACAGTATGTATGGGGTACTTACAGTCAATATTTTCATGAGTAGAAACATGTTTTCCGTCGGTAATGAAAAAACATCTGTTAACGGTCTTGCTAACCCCGCACTCACATACGTGTTACGATAAACCCTAATAAAAATACCCGCCAA